GGTGTTTTTTTTTTGGGGGGTTCGGGTGGGCATTGCCATGGTGCACGGACACATTATTTAACCCAGCCCGCGAACGCTAACCGCAGTCTGCGCAGTGTGTCGTCGATCACTCCCGCCAAATTCGTGCCACCTAAGTCCGCTCATGCCAGTCCCACCGCAGTGGTGTAGAAGCTGCGTTGTAGTTAAGGCCCGTTGGTGCATGCCGCCTGCTCTGTGCGCGTCGTCGTCATCAGAGAACTCTTCTCCATCGCCACGGCCCGTCATTTTCCGGAAGCGGCACAACTGTCTGCGCTCTCGTCCACCACGCCTTCGATCGTCGGTTGTCGTTGTTGAGTCACATCCGTCTTTTCGCGTCAAGCAGCCTGCGCTTCGATCCGCCATGTGGACGCCGACCGTGGAGTTCATTAACTGATATCCATCGTTGTGCCCTTGTGCGGCATTCGACGGACGGCGCCGCATCTTCCCGCTTCAGCTTTCGCGGTGGCAGATAATGGCTCCGAGGCGAGGAGGCGGCGGTCAAGCTCGTGGCAAAAAACGTGATGCAGTCACTGAACAGACGGCGGGCGGTTCAGGTGGGGGACGTCACATGACGAGGACGAAACGGTCACGTCAGGTTGCGAGTTCTGTCAGCGCCGCGCACTTGGATGGCGACGGTTGGGGAAGACCAAACGACGGCGAAGGCCAGAACGAGACAGGATACCCCGCTATGGAGCACGGACTTCGCGCGCGCGATGTGGCTCGGAGAGGACTGGAGCAACGTCATCAGCCCCGCCATTTGCGCGCACACTCTGGAGCTCGGGATGGACCTGCCTCTGTGGTACGCAGGTGCTTACATCGAAGACAGGCCCAGGGATGACGACATGGCTGCTTACCAGGAAGCGGCTGTCAAGTGATTGATTGCTGCGTTCAGCGCAGCGGTAGAAATAGGGAACGCGATGGATGGAGGATGCATAAGTCAGGACCGTTTGTCCCGTGTTGCGGAGAGCTTCAAGGTCCTCTTGGCGGCTGCCATGTGGATAATGCGATTGGCGGGAGACGATCCGAGGTCTCACTACGAAGCTTTCTACTTCTGCAACCTCGTCGCGAAGCCCGTTATGGTGGCGTCCATGCACCGCATCTTCGATCATCGTCGCCACACCTTGGCCGCCGCGAACGCCGCAACCGAGCGACTTGGGAAAGCGGAGTTGACGTTGGGCCACGCGCCCAATTTCATCCTGGATTGGGCTAAGTGCGGGGTGAGATTCGGCCATGACGCGAATTTGAGTGGACCAGACGAGGCGAGAGGGCTTCAATGGCTGGGCACAGGCCCTCCGGCGTGCGAGGACGACGACGACGACGATGATGATGCCGAAGACAACTGAACGCCACACGGGAGGAGGAGGAGGACGACGACGACGACGACGACGATGGTGTGCGTCGGCGGGGGGTGGGCCTTTTTGAGCAGCCTGGATACGGAGGCCTCATCACGCGGCGATAACGGCGAAGGTGCTGCACAATCACGACGGGGACGATAGCGACGCGTGCTGATGCCGTGGGGACGTCGGTTCGGGCGAGTACGGCACGACGGCGGCGCGCGGCAGAGGGAGACCTTGAAGAGAAGAACAGCGCACGTCAAGTACATGTGCAGGCAGTCTGCGAAAGAGGATGCCCACGCGTGATGATGCCTCATTCGACAACGCTCCCCACACAACGATGGTTGCGCCGCTGCGGAAGAGGGTGCTGACGGTGATGATGATGACGACGTGGATGATGACGACGATGACGACGATAATGATGATGATGATGATGATGGCGAGGATGATGATGATGATGACGACCACGATGATGATGATGGTGATGATGACGTCGATGACGATTGTGATGATGATGATGATGATGATGATGATGATGATGATGATGATGATGATGATGACGATGATGATGATGATGATGATGATGATGATGATGATGATGATGACGCTGATGATGATGATGACCACGACGGTGATGATGACGACGATAATGATGATAATGATGATAATGATGATAACGAAGATGATAACCCATCGAAGGTGGCGCGGGCAAGACACTTTTTTGTGTTTGTTTTTGGTCGAGCAGGGCGCTGCTCGACGTTGTAAATAAAGTGGACTCGAAAGTGCGATCGGTTCAGCAGGGGTCTTTTCGTGTTATTGCAGATATCTGCTTCTGCTTGTCGTTTTTTTTTTTTTTTTGCAAGGCGACATCTGTTCGCGCGATGGCGGGTGTTGCAGCAGATATCTGCTTCTGCTTGTCATTTTTGTTTTTTTTGTTTTTTAGTAAGGCGACATTTGTTCGCGCGATGGCGGATGACATGCCTTGGTTTAGCATGGGTCTTTGCGAAATTCATTTCCGCAATTTGCGGTGCACGTTCAATCTTCCGATGTTGTCTTCGTGATCATTCAGGGAAGAATACCAATCACAAGCCACATTGTTCAAATATGTGTTCTTTGTTTCTACGATGTGTTTTGAACGCGCTGTCCTTTTCTCACGAATGGGTTGTGCTTTGTTTGCCATCATTCATGTTATGCTTCTTTTGCATGTATTTTATT